ATTTCACAGACGTTCTTTCCAGCCATCCTATTGGAGGTCGACCGCTGGAAAGAAGAAGGGTCGTCTGGAAAATCCCATTTTCTTGTTTTTAGACAAAGCAAGTGGCACGCCTAACATCCAATTCACGTGGTAAAGGTCGGTTGAGGATTTTTGAGGAAACACAAGTATTGAGTGCGTCCAGTACTTGATGGCCCAATGACCACTCCCTTGCAGGACGTGCTTAGGATTAGAGAACTTGGAATCAAATCTTAAGTCATTTTTCTCCATTCTTCGAAAAGATTTTACACTGTTTAAAAAAAAAATAAAGTATTGAGTGCTGTTATATCATAAATTATAAAATTTAAAATGATGTCATGAATGGATGGATGTGATGTTGGCAGGTCAAATCTACTTTTTGGGAGCCTTGATAGATCACTTGCCTTTTGGATGTTCAATTTTGGAAAGATGAGGATTATTCCTTTAATTGTCTGTTTGAATTGAGATGGACTTGTGATTGCTACGTTTTAGGAGATAATTTAGTTAAAGATTGAGTTGGCAGATAATAAGGATAGGTGGCAAGATTTGGAAGGTTTTATGACCTAATCCACTATTAAGGTGTCCATCTTTTTCATGAAATCACCCACATTTTGCAACCACCAAGAGGTGGGGAGTTTCAAACTTGGAGGAAACAAATGAAAGTGAATTTTCTAATCATTTAACATATAGCAATCCTCATACACAACTTAGAACTAGTTTTAGCACTTATAGATCTTGTTAGCAATTGCTTACTTTTAACTTACAAATTTTACTTTCAGCATAATTCCTAATAGATTTAGGTTGTTTTCAATATCCAAATAGTTAAATTAGTTTGTGTAGTTGCTTCTACAACTTTTCTTTGTGTAATGAACAGTAAGCTTTTAAATTTCTATAATGTAATGTTTCTTTTCTGACTGATGTTTATTTAAAATTTATGATAAGTAGCATTTTTTCAAATAATTATTTATATGGCATTCACACTTCTTCATAGTTTTTGACATGTTCGTTTACTATTTGTTAATATTATTTTTATGATCATTTAGTCTTGAGTAGTCTAAATACCTTGATTAAATTTCCAGTTCTGCAATAATGTAGTTTCTACTTTTGTCTGTAAATCGTAGTTTAATCTGATAATGAACATATTTAGTTTAACTTGAATGCCATTTTTTCTTTGCAAGTTTATTGTGATTTGTATTTCATTCAATTCATTTAAGATATACTAATTTTAATTCATGATAGTATTTAGGTTTTTAGAGTTGTCTAATACAGATTACTAACTCATTTGTAAGAAAACGTCCCTCTTTCTTGCAAATTGTTTGAAGGTGTAAATTATAACTTTAAATCAATGTTCTTCTAATCATCCATATAGAAGTCAACTACATGGAAAGAGATGGCTGTTGGAAAAATCCTCTTTTTCTTACTTTACAAAAAAAAGCAAGTGATATACTTCACATTTAAAGTTGTCACACGTATTCCGCTTTAGGTTTTTTAAGGAAATAGAAACATTTAGTGATATTGACTTATTTTTTATGAGTTTTTAAGTTCAATTTTATGTGAATTGAGAAAAGTTTATTGTGATCTTATTACATATAGTTATTAAGGTTTGGTTTAGCTGTGCTACATTGTGCTCTAGTAGTTTCTTTTTTTTTTTTTTTTCCTCTTTATTATTTAAAAGTATATAAAGTACTATTTAAATTAATAAAAATATATATAAATTAATTAACAATTAGAAATTTACATTAGTAAGACCATGCTTGCGGCATTTATGGTTAAATTATGTGATTAGTCCCTTATTATTAAATTTGTAATTTTTAATTCCTCACTTTATATTATAAAGTCTTTAATCCTTAAATTTAAAGATTTGAAAATTTTAACCTCTAAACTAATAGAATCCACTAACTCTCCATTAAAATGAGAATAAAATTTTTACAAAATTAGTTCTCAAAAATTAAAATGTAATATTTTAGTTCGAACAATTTAAAAATTAAAAAAATTAGTAAACTAAAGAAAATTAATAAATGACTTTATCACATACACTAAAATAATATTACATATCTATAATCAAATCAAGCGACTAGCTTAATTTGAAGAAAGAATTTCAATTGAGATTCAAGAAAATTTTTTAATTAAGTTAAGACAGAAAGTTCAAAAGATTAAAAGAATATATTTAAGAAATTTTTTTTAATTTTATTCAAATTTTTTTCTTTAAATTAAACTAATCATTTGATTTGATTGTAAATATCTAATATTGTTATTGTTTATGTCACCAAATTATCTACTAATTATTTTTAAGTTACTAATTTTTTTTAATTTTTAAACTTTTAGAACTAAATTGGTATATTTTTAATATTTGAGAACTAATCTTGTAAATGTTTATTTTTACTTTAATAAAAAGTTAACGAATTTTATTAATTTAGAAATTAAAATTTTTAAATCTTTAAATTTAGAGACTAAAAATTTTCTAGTGCAAGGGGAAGGGTAAAAATTTTTTATTCAAGAAAGTGAGGGGTTAAATGGATAGCCAGCGTTTACGTGGGATCAACCGTTGTCCAGCCTGGCACGCCTCTCACGCGGGACACATGGCCGCGCCTCACGGAAATCATCAGCGGGGTCGAGGCGTTCAGGGGCGCCTTATTTCACCGGAAACGCCGTGAAGCAGAGGATCGATCCAGCATCGCCGCGAAAAAGAGGAGCAGAACCAATTTCGCGTAATATATAAAAAGGGGGATTCCAGATTTTCTAGGGGCTCTTCTTAGATTTCTTCTGTTCTTTCCCTTTCGTGTCCTCTTTTTCCCCTTTTCCTCTTTCTCTTTCATTTTCTCTCCCCTGTTTTCTTTCCCGATTTCTTCTCTCCCCCGTTCGTGTGTTTGAATTGGACGATGATTGGAGATTCGGAGTCGAACTCTACTCGAGTTGAAGATCGAGGTACAGTAGGTGATCGGATTCGGTGACCGGCATTTGTACAGATCTTTTTCCACATCAATACAGCTTATCCGAGATTAATTTTGAGCTTTGATTAATGACTTACCACTGAAGTTCATGGAATGATGATTAGAGTGTTCATCAATTTCAAGCTGATTGCTGTGATTACTCTGATTGAAGCCGAAATTTCTCTTTCTATGTTCTGTTTTCATAATCGGACTGTTTGGCTTCGTTTCTCCATTCATCAATATTCTCAATATTCTTTAAGCTCGCGTGATTATATTCCGCAAGTTGAGTTTGTTTTGATGAGATTGTTCTAATTTAAGCATTTTGTGTTGATTTTGTTGAGACAATAATGGAAAACCTTAACCCAAAATTCAATTTTCAAATTTCTCAGAAGCCAAACTTAGAAATTACTTTAATTAAAGCCAATCCTGAATTAACCTCTTGGCCTCAATTTGAGCTTTATAGACCTGATGGAACCCATTGAATTCAACACTAAAAGAAGTAGCACTAATTTTTCCCTTTTTCTTTTCGTTTTGGCTTTCAAAACAGAAACTTATCATTATAGTAATGTTTGAAAACATGAATTTGATGCAATGTATTTAAATTTGAACTTTTTAAATTCAATATTATTGTTTATTTTTACATAAATAAATAAAAGGTAATTGAATTTGTCTTTAAGTGCATATATTTCCCCCGGATAATTCAAAAAGAGAAAAATAGTTTATTTCAATTTCAATTTGAATTCCCTCTGCACTTTCTCCTTTCACTAACGGCGATGAAGCCTCCATCATCTATCCATCATCGACTCTGTCGCTGCTCTCCACCTTCTTACTGCAAGTTATGCTCACCACCATCGTCTTTTCTCCCATTTCCGTCACCTTCATCTGCAGATTTTAGCCAAACAGATATCATGTACCAGATTGAAATTTTTGCTTCGATTGTTTAATTAATAGATTGTGATTTCGATTGACAGAAATTGAGATAGATTTACTTCAAGGACTTCAATCGGAGAGGCTCTTGATCCACCGGAATTGTAAAAGTTATCGACCTTTGTCTTCTTCGATCTCAAAAGTACTAGAAGTTCTTGATCGAAAATGTCGTAATTAGCTGGATTTCTATTCGATTTTTTGGATTCTAGCTCCCTTATGTTAGCTTGAATTCGCTTCTCCTGTTCATACAACTCTTGGATGTAATCGATTGCGTCTTTGATTATCGAAGCTTTATCCATCTGAAAATCGAAACCAAACAACAAAGAATTAGCAAGCAAGCGGAAATTGAAAGAAAATAACAAAACGTAGATTTAAAAATTCAATTTAATTTAATAGGAAAATTTTAATTTTAAATACATAATTTTTTAATATATCTAAATAATGTATTTAAATTTTATTTTT